GTATAAGTCGTTAAGTCAAAGAGGGTAGTCGGCAAGCCATGAAGAGGGAGTGCGATGAGAGGTGTATGTCCACGGGTGTATTAAGTGGAAGGTTATTAAAGTTGGCGGGTCATGGAAGGGGGGATGTAATCCAGCGGAACGTGGATGGAATAAACAAGTGATTTGGTGTCCAGGGTAAGGGTGATTAGTATAAACTCGGCATCTATTATTCACACAAAAGGACCAACTCGCCCATTGATCGAATAATGGCGTCAGTGTTACTGAACCAATCACCGGAGATGAAAATCAAAAGATAAATAAATCTCCCCACGAATTTCATTCATTGCTTAATAGCGTCAATCAGGATCGTGTTCGTTACAATTGCCAAATAACAAGCTCGAAAATCCATACTTGAACGCGTCACGGCGTTATAAGCTATACCGAACAGATGAACGAGTCTCGAGCATGGGGTACTGGCATGCTCAGTTATATCAATATTCCGGGGGAGGGGGTAGGGAGGGACAGGGGAGTGTGACCAGGAGGAGGAATGGGGCAGTGCGAGGAGGGGGTGACTGGGCAGGGAGTATTATGGAGGAGTGGGAGTGACGGGAAGGGGGTAGAGTTGGGGAGGGAGAACAATCTTTGGAACATCTGTTTAGTCTAGATTTTGCAAGGTATTGTGATACTTGCTTACAGGTGTTAATTTAAGTCCTATTTCTCTCCCACCAGTCACAGGCCCGTGACTAATTTGATGCGTTAAACTTCAGTTACGTCTTGTCGATATACACAGGAATTTTTAACGAACACCGATATACAGTGGTATGCTCAAAGAACGCCGATATACACAGGTATGCTCAAAGAACACCGATATACACAGGTATGCTCAAAGAACACCAATATACACAGGTATGCTCAAAGCACACCGATATACACAGGTATGCTCAAAGAACACCGATATACATGTACACAGGTATGCTTAAAGAACACCGATATACATATGTATCTAGAGGAGGTTTTCATGGTTTCCACTTGAATACCATATAAATTTCACGAGTAACGTAGATTATCGATATGTTTCACGAGTTTAAAGTACGAGCAATAAAAAAGCGCGGGAACTGATAGCGTAATATCTGACGCCAAGTTCTAATGACGTCAATCTAATCTACACTGTGAATAGAAAGTACTGTTCGACCAAAATTAAAAGTGATATCTTCGCATGGGAAGATATATCATTTCGTATGTTTCATTGCAGTGAAGAGAAAGTTTTTATCAAATGAATTATTCCTGCTATTTCACTGTTGAAAATGTAATAATTACAAGTATGTACAGAGAACGTTATAATTAAGCTGATTACAATGTGGGCCGGGCTAACCCTTAATTTTCTGCCCGAACGTGCCGTTCCGCCATCCAACCTCAAGACAGAAAAAGTTAAATAATTCTTCAGATACGGACGTGTTCGGTTTTTTTATTATTATTTAATGAAGATGTGATATTTCTTTTAATTGTAATATATAGAAATATTTTTCTACAGATGCCATGCTGTCCAAAACGACTTTGATAAAAATGGGACGAAGCTATCCAATCTTCCAACAGAAAAGGTTGAATAACTCCTCAAATACGGACTTGTTTACCCTTTTGTTTTTAGCTCACCTGGTCCAAAGGACCAAGGACCAAGGTGAGCTCATGCCATACCGTGGCGTCCGTCGTCCGTCTTCCGTCCGTCCAACATTTCTTTAAACGACTTCTTCTTCTTAACCACTGATTGGAATTAACCTAAATTTGACTTGAAGCATCCCTAGGTGGTGGGGATTCAAAATTGTACAAATGGTGGGGCTGACCCCCAGGGGGTTGGGGGGCGGGGCAAAAAGGGGGCAATTTGGCTAAACTGCTTTAAGCGACTTCTTCTCTGGAACCAAATCACTTAGTTCCAGAGAACTAAGTGATTTAGTTATATATAATATCAAACATATTAGACTGGAAGCATCCCTAGGTGGTGGACATTCGAAATTGTACAAATGGTTGGGCTGATATTAGAATTGATCTTTGGGTCTGGCCACAACCATAGGGACCTAGTTTCTGAGTCACAGACCTAGTTTCTGAGTCACAGATTGGAAACAGTTGAGATCCCCACCCCATAACCATGCATAAAAATGCTGGGCATGAAAAATCGAATACAGATATATATGCTACAAGGATTGGCCTTGGGGTCTGGCATATTACCATTGACCATTTGGAGAATATTCTGCCGTGATTGCTTAGATATCCTGGTGAGCGATACAGGCCCTATGGGTCTCTTGTTACTTTATGGAAGGCAAGAGGTTTCTCCTCCAAAAAGTATACATAAACATAAATTTCATCAAATGCTAAACCGTCCAGAACGACTTGATTGACAATGGGACGTCTATATACACAGGTATGTACAGAGAAAGTCGATACATACAGGTGTGTACAGAGAGGTCGATATACATAAGTGTGTACAGATATCGTCGATACACAGGTGTGTACAGAGAGGTCGGTATACACAAGTGTGTACAGATATCGTCGATACACAGGTGTGTACAGAGAAATTGATATACACAGGTGTGTTCAGAGAAGTCGATATACACAGGTGTGTACAGAGAAGTCGATATACACAAGTGTGTACAGAGAACGTCGATATGCATAGGTGTGTACAGATTTCGTCGATACATAGGTGTGTACAGAGAATGCGATATACACAGGTGTGTACAGAGAAGTCAATATACACAGGTGTGTACAGAGAACGTCGATATAAAACGGTGTGTACAGAGAACGTCGATATACACAAGTGTGTACAGAGAAGTCGATAAACACAAGTGTGTAAAGAGAAGTCGATATACACAAGTGTGTACAGAGAACGTCGATGTACACAAGTATGTACAGAGAACGTCGATATACACAGGTGTGTACAGAGAAGTCGATATACACAAGTGTGTACAGAGAACGTCGATGTACACAAGTATGTACAGAGAACGTCGATATACACAGGTGTGTACAGAGAGGTCGATATACACAAGTGTGTACAGATATCGTCGATACACAGGTGTGTACAGAGAGGTCGGTATACACAAGTGTGTACAGAGAAGTCGATATACACAGGTGTGTACAGAGAAGTTGATATACACAGGTGTGTTCAGAGAAGTCGATATACACAGGTGTGTACAGAGAGGTCGGTATTCACAAGTGTGTACAGAGAAGTCGATATACACAGGGGTGTACAGAGAAGTCGATATACACAAGTGTGTACACAGAACGTCGATATACACAGGTGTATACAGAGAACGTCGATATACACAGGTGTATACAGAGAGGTAGATACACAAGTGTGTAAAGATATCGTCGATACACAGGTGTGTACAGATATCGTCGATACACATGTGAGTACAGAGAGGTCGGTATACACAAGTGTGTACAGAAAAGTCGATATACACAGGTGTGTACAGAGGAGTCAATATACACAGATGTGTACAGAGAACGTTGATACACACAGGTGTGTACAGAGAGGTCGGTATACAAAAGTGTGTACAGAGAAGCCGATATACACAGGTTTGTACAGAGAACGTCGATATACACCGGTGTGTACAGCGAAGTTGATATACACAGGTGTGTACAGAGAACGTCGATACACACAGGTGTGTACAGAGAACGTCGATACACACAGGTGTGTACTGAGAACATCGATACACACAGGTGTGTACAGAGAAGTCGATACACACAGGTGTGTACTGAGAAGTCGATATACACAGGTGTGTACAGAGAAGTCGATATACACTGGTGTGTACAGAGAAGTCGATATACACCGGTGTGTACAGAGAAGTCGATATACACAATGTGTATAGAGAACGTCGATATACTCAGGTGTGTACAGAGAAGTCAATATACACAAGTGTGTACAGAGAAGTCAATACACACAGGTGTGTACAGAGAACATCGATACACACAGGTGTGTACAGATAACATCGATACACACAGGTGTGTACAGAGAAGTCGATATACACAGGTGTGTACAGAGAACGTCGATATACACAGGTGTGTAAAGAGAAGTCAATATACACAGGTTTGTTCAGAGAAGTCGATATCCACAGGTGTGTACAGAGACCGTCGATACACACAGGTGTGTACAGAGAAGTCGATATACACAGGTGTGTACAGAGAACGTCGATATACACAGGTGTGTACAGAAAACTTCGATACACTCAGGTGTCTAGTGAGCTTAACGCTGAGCTGCTTTCAGTTAAAGTTCATAGCCAATATGAATGCCGAACGGAATGTTACAGATAACCGCTTCTCACGTTGAACTTACCATCTTCATGTTGGCTTTCATATTGAATTTGAATGTCAACTTTTAGCTGTTCATTACTTATCTTTACCATTTTAATATATAAAAGAAAAACAAAAATGTACTTAAATTGCAAGGGTTATATAGTGGTGATCTCACAGAGTGGAAAATATAGCTTCGATCAACACCAGCTTTAGGGAGAACGTCAATACACACGTCGTAAGCCTGGGGGATTTTAATGCATTACCTTACCGATATATTGAACCTGTGTATATTGGCCTACTATATAATAAACACAATTCTGCTGTAAAATTCAATATAGATTATGAGCTGCAATGTAAAGAGTAATTGTTATCATTTGTGTTAAAAGCGTCCCATGAAAAAATGATTTTTCTTTGCTAAAAAGATAAAATATTCCGGATGGTATATTGTACCTTGAGTCATGTTTGAACGTCCCGGAAATAATTCATTACGCTGAGTTAACACTCAAAAAACTACTCTCATATATATACAATTTCTTAGTCCAGAAATCATATGGATGACATTTTAACCCATATATACAAAATGTACATACAAACCAGCGGACCGAGTGGATCGCTCTATCATACAAAGAACGTCATTCCCTAGAGTAGAGTGTTGAATGTTGGTAAAAGGATTTTCTATATTTTATGTGCAGAGTTTGAGGTCAGTATTCACTCAAGTAAACAGAGAGTAGATAGCACGCACGTGGTATTGATAAATCTATAGACTGGATGTACCTCGCGTCGTGTACAATTCTCATGTACGTTTTAATTGTATTACACTACACGTTCTTCAGTAGCGAGCTTTCCTCACTGTTAAAGAACCTGGTTATTTGATTCCCTGTGTTGGAACTGTACCGTGCGCTAATGGTTGTGTTTGTCAGTAATGCTGCTATATGCTGGTCAGTGATGACTGTGACCGTCTGATGGACCGTCGTAAGAGCAAAAGGTAACACGTTAATGTTTATATTCTGTATTATTCTTTGTCCACACCAACCTAGAGCATTACCTGATAAAGTTCTACAACTCGCCGGTCTAGCCTCACACAGTTTAAATACAATCTGCATATTATAAAATATATTCTCTTTTAACATTTTCTTACTGTACATGTGTGTTGGCAAATGAACGATTATTATTAAATACACGTATATTGATACATGTTCACTGCATGTAAATCATAATTGAAAGCCAAAAACAGAGCGTGATGTCTTAAGGAAGGGTTTAGAGTTCGGACGTTTCATAAAACAAGGACCTGTTTATGACCTGAGATTAGTTAGTTCTGATTTCCATTAATATCGCATCAACGACGGAATAGATAACGGCACTAGAACGATCCAGACAGTTATCGATATATCGTGTTGAGTTCCGACAGGTCCAGACAGCTACTGATATATCATTGTGAGTTGTGACAGGGCCAGACAGTTACCGATACTCGCCGTGAGTTTTGACGGGGCAAGACAGATACCGACACTCGTGGTGAGCTTTGAAAGGTCCAGACATTTACCGATATTGCGATGAGTTCCGACAGGTCAGAACAGTTACCATTATTTCGTGGTTAGTTCTGACAGTTCCAGACAACAACCGATATATATCGTGGTGAGTTCTGACGGGGCCAGACAGTTACCGATACTCGTGGTGAGTTATGTCAAGGCCAGACAGTTACCGTATGTACATATCGTGGTGAGTTCATACAGGTCCAGACGGTTACCGATATATATCGTGGTGAGTTCTGACGGGGCCAGACAGTTACTGATATACATATCGTGGTGAGTTCATACAGATCCAGACAGCTAACGATACTCGTGGTGAGCTGTGACAGGTCCAGACAGTTACCGATATGGTGGTGAGTTATGTCAAGGCCAGACAGTTACCGTATGTACATATCGTGTTGAGTTCATACAGGTCCAGACGGCTACCGATATGGTGGTGAGTTCTGTCATGGCCAGACAGTTTCCATTATACATATTGTGTTGAGTTCATACAGGTCCAGACGGCTACCGATATGGTGGTGAGTTCTGTCATGGCCAGACAGTTTCCGATATACATATCGGGTTGAGTTCATACAGGTCCAGACGGCTACCGATACTCGTGGTGAGTTATGTCAAGGCCAGACAGTTTCCGATATACATATCGTGGTGAGTTCATACAGGTCCAGACGGCTACCGATATGGTGGTGAGTTCTGACATGGCCAGACAGTTACTGATATACATATCGTGTTGAGTTCATACAAGTCCAGACAGTTACAAATATACCGTGGTAAGTTCTGACAGGTCTAGACAGTTACCGAAATATCGTGGTGAGTTCTGACAGGTCCAGACAGTTACCGATATATATCGTGGTGAGTTCTGACAGGGCCAGACAACTACCGATATATATCGTGGTGAGTTCTTCTGACAGGGCCAGACAGTTACCGATATATATCGAGGTGAGTTCTGATGGGGCCAGACAGTTACCGATATATATCGAGGTGAGTTCTGATGGGGCCAGACAGTTACCGATATATATCGAGGTGAGTTCTGATGGGGCCAGACAGTTACCGATATATGTCGTGGTGAGTTCTGACAGGGCCAGACAGTTACCGATTTATATCGTGGTGAGTTCTGATGGGGCCAGACAGTTACCGATATAACTTGGTAATTGATACAGTCAGGACAGTTACCATTATATCGTGGTAAGTTCTGACAGGGCCAGACAACTACCGATATATATCGTGGTGAGTTCTGACGGGGCCAGACAGTTACCGATACTCGTGGTGAGTTATGTCAAGGCCAGACAGTTACCGTATGTACATATCGTGGTGAGTTTATACAGGTCCAGACGGCTACCGATATATATCGTGGTGAATTCTGATGGGGCCAGACAACTACCGATATATATCGTGGTGAGTTCTGATGGGGCCAGACAGTTACCGATATTGTGGTGAGCTCTGAGAGGGCCAGACAGTTACCGATATACATATCGTGGTGAGTTCATACAGATCCAAACAGCTACCGATATATGATGATGAGTCCTGACAGGTCCAGGCAGTTATGGATAACCGTGGTGAGTTCTGACAGGGCAAGAAAGTTACCGACACTCGTGGTGAGCTGTGACAGGTCCAGACAATTACCGATATATTGTGGTGAGTTCTGACAGATCCAGACAGTTACCGCTACTCCTGTGAGTGGTGACAGGACCAGACAGTTACCGATATATCGTGGTGAGTTATGACAGGGCCAGCCAATTACCGATATATCGTGGTGAGTTCTTTCAAGTCCAGATAGTTATCGATATATCGTGGTGAGTTCTGACAGGTCTAGACAGTTACTGATATATCGTGGTGAGTTCATACAGGTCCAGACAGCTATCGGTATATCGTGGTAATTGATCAGTCCGGACAGTTACCTTTATTTCGTGTTAAGTTCTGACAGGTCTAGACAGTTACCGATACATCGTGTTGAGTTCCGACAGGTCCAGACAGTTACCGATGTAACTTGGTAATTTATTCAGTCCGGACAGTTACCATTATTTCGTGGTGAGTTCATATAGGTCCAGACAGCTACCGATATATCGTGATGAGTTGTGACAGGGTCAGACAGTTATCGTGGTGAGTTCATACAGGTCCAGACAGTTACCGATATATCGTGGTAATTGATACAGTCCGGACAGTTACCTTTATTTCGTGGTAAGTTCTGACAGGGCCAGACAGTTATCGATATATCGTGCTGAGTTGTGACAGGGCCAGACAGTTATCGTGGTGAGTTGTGACAGGGCCAGACAGTTACCGATATATTTTGGTGAGTTTTTAGAAGCTTAGATAATTTCAGACAGGTCTAGAAAGAGTTTTTTGACATAGGCTTGTAGCACTTAAGCTGGTTTTAGAAGAGTATTTTATCAACATTTTATGATGACAGTATATCAATAAAGTAGAAAGTTAATATTTGCAGATATGGGACAAGTCTTTGTGATAATGGATTAACATGGAATTAATACATGTGTATACAATGTAGCTTGAATGATATCTGAATTTCCATTAATCAGAAGCCATGTTACGGCGGTCACCTTTTTCCAATAACGAAACGGAAGTCGCGTTTGAGTGCGCAGAGCGATAACACAGGGACCTGATTTGTTTTGTTTTTTTACTGAAAGTTGATCCAAATTCTTTTAAAACATCAAATATTTCCCTGGACACATTACAGCTGTATCTTAGGTCCAAACAAAGCTAAACTTTAACAAACTGCCAGGTCTCTATATACTTTTCTACTTGGAGATTAACTTTCAGTTTGACGACGTTTGCAGATCGGTATTATTTTGGCAAGTAACATGTGCAGCGCATTTAATTAGTTCTCCATTAAGATGACGCCGTCAAAATAAACCTCACTTTTTATTACTCTTTTCTTTTGATAACTTTAAAAAAAATTATCTGGGTAGTCATTCAAACAGTTTTCTCTTATTTATTTCGAATGTTATGTACGCAAAATGACACACTGGTCTGGCATTGACGCGTTCGAATGTTCCTGAACGAAGTCGCCTTTGTTTACTTCAATGACAAGATAAAATTGATTGTGTATCAATGGGATACATAGTTTATCAGTACTCCTCTTGTTGCATAATAGCGGTATATATCAAATTGACAGTACTGATAGCGGCATATATCAAATTGACAGTATTAATAGCGGTATATATCAATTTGGCAGTATATTTATAGCGGGACTTACCAAATTGACAGTCCCGCTACAAATACACTGTCATATTAAATCGATAGTATTAATAGCGAGACATATCAAATTGACAGTATTACTAGCGGGACATATCATATTGACAGTATTAATAGCAAGACATATCAAATTGATAGTATTAATAGCGGTATTTATCATATTGACAATATTATTAGCGGTATATATCAATTTGGCAGTATATTTATAGCGGGACATATCATATTGACGTTTGTAATAGCGGGACATAGCAGATTGACAGTATTAATAGCGGGGCATATCATATTGACGTTTGTAATAGCGGGACATATAAAATTGACAGTATTAATACATATTGACAGTATTACTAGCGGGACATATCAAATCAATAGTATTAATAGCGGTACATATCCTATTGACAGTATTAATAGAAGGACATATCATATTGATAGTATTACATGTAATAGCGGGACATAGCAGATTGACAGTATTAATACATATTGACAGTATTGATAGCGGGACATATCAAATTGACGGTATTAATAGCGGTATTTTTCATATTGACAATATTATCAGCGGTATATATCAAATTGACAGTACTGATAGCGGCATATATCAAATTGACAGAATTAATAGCAGGACACATCATATTGACAGTATTGATAGCTATACATATCATATTGACGGTCTTAATAGCGGGACATATAAAATCGATAGAATTAATAGCGGGACATAGCAGATTGACAGTATTAATTAATAGCGGGACATATTAAATTGACAGTATTACTAGCGGGGCATATCATATTGACGGTTTTAATAGCGGGACATAGCAGATTGACAGTATTAATACATATTGACAGTATTGATAGCTAGACATATTATATTGACAGTATTACTAGCGGGACATATCATATAGACAGTATTAATAGCGGTATTTTTCATATTGACAATATTATCAGCGGTATATATCAATTTGGCAGTATATTTATAGTGGGACTTACCAAATTGACAGTATTCATATCATATTGACAGTATTGATAGCTAGACATATTATATTGACAGTATTAATACATATTGACAGTATTAATACATATTGACAGTATTACTAGCGGGGCATATCATATTGACGTTATTAATAGCGAGACATATCAAATTGACGGTATTAATAACGGGACATATTAAATTGACAGTATTAATACATATTGACAGTATTGACAGCTAGACATATCATACTGACAGTATTGATAGCTATACATATCATATTGACAGTGTTAA